GCCCCGCCCCGACACCGCTCCGCACCTGCGGTAGCCGCGCGCTCGGAACCAAAAGACAGAAAGACCGACAGACACAGGACGGACCTCCAAGCAGGATGGGCGCGCCGGCTCCGCCGCGCCCGGAAACGAGCGGATCTGCCACGCCCAGTTGCGGGCGGGGCTTCAACATCCGGAAACGGGCACGACCCGACGCTTCCTCTTCCGGCCGCCGGGAGGGGCCCGAGCCGGACTCCGAGGCAGCTAGCTGCATCCCGGCGGGGAGGGGTCCGAACGGAGGTTCCCGACAGGCCGGAGTCTCGTTTGTCCAGACTTTGCACCCGAGGGGGCGACGAGACCTGCCTGCTGAGGACCTCGGGCCGAGGGCTGTAGGGTGAGGTCCAGCCTGGCCGGACCCTCCACTCCCGCCGAGACGCACCACGGATTCGCGGGCTTGCCCGCACCTGCGTCTCGGCCGGACAGGCGGGTGAAGAGGAGCAGGTGCTCCCACCGGCCGCACTCGGGCCGGGGCCAGACCCCCGCACAGCTGGAGGAGCTCCGGGCTGCAGGACACCTGGCCTGCACCACCTCCCGCTCCTCTCCCGTCTCCCGAAACCCACGCCTCCAGCCGAGACGACCGGAGGCAAACCGGGAAGGGCATCCCGGCAAGTGGAAGCGCCACGGTCCCCCCCCTCGTCGACTTGGCACTCGTACCCCCCTCTTTAAATTCCCAAATAAACATAATCGCACTCACACTTCTAACATGCAGTTGTTCCACCTCTGACCCCAAAGAACACCTGTTAGCTCTTTCCCTAAAGAGGACACGTTCCTTCATCCAGGTTTGGGCGCCATTCAACTCTTCCCGCCGTTCACGCCCCCTTTAGACGCCGGAAACTGGCCTACTGGAGAGAAGCCTAAACACTTCTCACCTTAAATGGCAGGGGAGGGGCTGAGGGAAAGAAGAGCTGGATAACCTACATGCGTTTTCATATCGAAGTACTCAGGACAGCCCTCATTTCTACACCTAGCCAGGTGGTCACAGCTGGGTTTCATAACCACCTTCTTCCAGGACCCATTCTACACACACCTCCTGCAAGGAGTGGGAGGCTGGGCTGGATGGCCATCTACGTCCATACTAGAATCTCCAAGGGTTATGTCTGGAGAGGTCAGGGAGAGGCCCAGGGTGGGCAGAGGCAAGTATGCTCGGATGACACACGATCCAAAGCTGGGGCTTTGTGAGTTGGTGCTGGCACGCTCCTTTCTCACAGAGCTCAGTAGCAAGGCCTGGGCCCGAGAGCCCTGTGGCCTGGCGAATTAATGGAGCAACAGCTGCACGAGAGTTCATCCGTGGTCAAGCCTGTACAATGCTACCAGCAGGCCAGGGCTACACAGCGAGGAGCTGAAGCGGCCCGTCTGTGGAGCTGACCAGCGCCAGGGCTGCGGAGATTTGTGGGGCACACACCTGTCAAGAATCCTGGGGAGGCGGGTAGGATGCAAGTACCTGATCGAACGTGATCCCTTCATTGGTCCGTTTCAAACCCAAGGCAACCTTGGCTGGAGCCCGGCCTGCCACCAGGGGGCGCTCTGGCCCTGTGTTCGCATTCTGAGCTCCAACACTGCTGGACCCTCCAAACTTGATTCCCCCCACCACCCTGTTTGGGAGAGCCAGATTCCGGGCCTGGTCACCCTCTTGGTCACCTCCTCCTTGTCCAGTCTGGCTAGCCCTCAAATCTCCCCATGGTTGCGGCCATGGCTTGTGACGTCAGCCACGTGACCCACAGTCACCTGGGGAATGAGGACCCAGTGTCTTGTCCTAGGAGACTGGGACGGGGCGTGGGGGCTGAGGGACCCACCCTCCCCAGCCCCCTACTCAGGGACGTGGCCCTGTGCAAGGCCATGGCCCCAGGGCTGCACGGACGGGCGGGCAGCCAGCCTCCTTTGTCCTTGGGAAGCCTCCTGGTTAGAGCAGAGGAAAAGTTGGCACTTTGTTAACTTACAAGCTTAACCATAACCTCTGGGCCTTCCAGCTGAAAATTACTGTGGCCCAGAACTGCCCCATGGGTCACTGTGGATGCCGCCCAGCCCCTCCGCCTTCCACAGCCACCACAGCATCAAATTAAGACAGAACTGGGACAAGGCCAATCATGGCAGCTAGGGTGCTGGGGTCATGGGCGAGTTCTAAACTGTCTGCAAACTCATTTCATTTGTAAATGAAAATTTATGTAAGTTAACACTCCAAATTCTACACATGAAGTTGTCCAGAGTCAACTGTGACTAACGGAGGTTTGTCTGGGCACGAAGAACAAAGGTCTTTACAGTGTATTCGCACACAGCTCTCACAGAGGCTGGGTCCTAATTCCCAAAGTGCAGCTCTTCAGGAGAGAGGTCTTAACAGGAACTGAAGCACAGGGAGAAACTCTCACTGCCCTTACAGCGTCCCTTACCACCTTCACTCCACGGAACCTCCTTGTCTAACTCATAAAACACGACTTATTTTTTGAACTTCTTCCTTTTCAGAGCCTTCCATTCACCTTCTTGCGTAGCCAGGCTGTTAAAAAGCTGCTTCACTTTCCGCTTTCTTTCCGCATCCCTTGGGAAAAAAAAGCCATTTTGGATTAGTTTTTGGAGGATGTCTTGCCTTTTTCGTGCCTGTGTCTGACCCAAGAGCGGTTCAGAAGCACGTGGAGCTGCAGTGACGGAAGCTGCCTGCCCCGCCCCAGCCCAGCCCCTGCGTCCAGGTCACGGAGGGGCCGGGCCCTCGCCCTGGCTCACAGCAGCCAGCCCAGCCCGGCGGCCCCTCACCGTTCCGTGATCTCCGAGAGCTGCATCCGAGCCAGGAACTGGTTGTCCCGGCGGATCTCCCGGACGGCCCCCCTGAACTCCCGCTTGTGCTTGTGGATGAGCCTCTTCCTCTCCTGCTCCTCCTTACTGCTCCCCTGCTTCCTCCCAAACTCCAGGCTGAAAGCGGAAAGCCTGCGTCAGGAGGCGGACATGGAGCCCAGGTCTGACCCAGAGCCGGCAGGGCCTCAGGTCAAGGCTGCCCAGGCCCACGGCCCCGCTCCTGGGCCCCTCCCGGGACTGGGGAGCCCCGCTGTCCTCACACTCTGACCAGCCGGGGGGTGAACAGCTTCAGCGGCACCGGCTTGCTCTTCTCACAGACCAGCGGCCGGCAGAGCTGCGCCTGAGTTTCCATCTCCGTCAGTGCGCTCTGCCCCAGCTCCTGAAAGGCACACAAGCCCACGCTGACCGCCGGATGCTCCTCCCCGGGGCCGTGGCTGCCTGGGCTGCTGAACGGAGGAGCTGTGCTCACAGACAGCGGCTGTATGTCTGGCCGGATCGGCTCCCGTCTTCCTGCCTACAGGGGAGGGAACCTGCACGACTGGGAGGCCTGCACCCTCCTCACAGTGCCTGGCATGGCCGAAGTCCAACCCACGGAGGCACACACATTGGGGACCAAGCCCATTCATACACGTGGGAGCTTCCAGGCTTCCCTGAACACCACAGTGGGACCATCCTCAGAAAACCCGTGTGGCCTGAGAGGGATGCGGAGCCTGGAGCCGCTGTCCAGGCCCCAGAGGGCAGTGGGCGGGGGGAAGGGGCACCGAACTGCCGAACAGTGTTAACAACCTTCAAATAAAATTGCAGGTCCTAGCTCAGCTCAGCAGGACAGTGGCTTCTCGCTAGTTTTCCCACGACTCTAATGTTCCTTCCCACCGGTGTTCACGGTGTACACGTGCCGTCCTTGGTTTCAAGGGCTGGAATCTCAACGGCAGAAACGCACTCACCTGTCCCCCGCCCCCCCCGCCCCGTCACAGAAACGGCCGCGCTGGGCCAGGGCCTCACCTGCAGCTCCCGGGGGTGGCTGCCGTCGGCCAGGTGCTCCGTCAGGAGGGCTCTGAGGGGCCTCACGATGTCGTGGAAGGATGGCAGAGCGCCATACACGCGCACACAGCGCTCCACCAGGGCCAGACACACGGCCAGGCAGGATAGTCTGCAGGGGCGAGAGGAAGGGCCACCTCGTCCTTTCCGCCACCAACAGAGCCAGTTGTCTTGGCAAGTGAAACCCTTCCACACGCCGCTCTGAAGCGCCCAGTGTGGGCCGCAGACACTGAGGTCAAGTATCGGCCGCGCGCAGCGTCGGCAGCAGCCAACGCCCGCAGTATTCGGAGCTAAAGAAAACACCGCGTTTCCCAGAGCAAGGACTGTGGAGCGGAAAGCAGGAACAACCTGGAAAGAGTGGCTCTGCTGTAGTTAGTCTTCTTTTAAAGAGGAGAAAATCGAAGTTTAATAACAGATGGGAGAGACCTAGGAGAACTGACTGACTTGCCACAATGGCCGAAGTCCTCATCTTAAATAAATCCCATTTCAGTTTTTAAATAATTAAAACCATCTGCAACACCAAGCAGGTGTATTTTGAAACTAACATACACCATTCTGGAGAAAAAAATGGCCATCAGGACTTGAACAGACATTACTCCGAAGAAGATTATGAATAAACACATGGAAAGATGCTCAACATCACTAAATGATCTGGGAAATGCAAATCAAAACCAAAATCACACCCATGAGGATGGCTAACATCAAAAAAACAGAAAATACTAAGTGCTGACAAGGATGTGGAGAAACCAGAGCCCTTGTGCACTCCTAGTGGGAACGTAAAATGGTGCAGCCACGGAGGAAAACAGTATAGAGGTTCCTAAAAAAGAAGAGAGCTACTGTATGAGCCAGCAGTCCCACTTCCGGGTATGAACACAACTGAAAGCAGGAACCAGAACAGACACTCGTACACCCACATCCACAGGAGCACTACCCAGAGTGACCAAAAAGTGGGAGCAACCCGGGTGTCCACTGACAGATGAACGGGTAAACAAGAATATGGTCCATCCACACAGTGGAATATTACTCAGCCTTAAAAAGGAAGGAAATTCTGACACCTGCTACAACATGGATGAACCTTGAGACATTATGCTCAGGGAAATAAGCCAGTCACAAGAGGTCAAATCCTGTATGATTCCACCCACGTGAGGTCCCGAGGAGTCAAGTCCACATAGGCAGAAAGCAGACACTGCTTGCCGGGAGCTGGGGGAGGGTGGGGAATTGTGACAGAGTTTCCGTTTGGGAAGATGAGTGAGTTCTGGAGGTGGCTGGTGGTAATGGTTCCATAACAATGTGAATGCACTTAATGTCACCAAACCGTACATTTAAAATGGTTAAGATGGTAAGTTTTATATTATCTATATTTTAACACAATAAAAAAATTTTCAAATAATTCATATTTTAAAAAATCAGAGAATGAAAGGACTTACAGGAAAAAGCCCCAGCCCTCTCCTCACCCTGCCACTTCTCCTACAGACTGAAGCTGTGACCCCACAAAATTCCTGCGCTGGAACCTAAGCCCTAGCGTGATGGTCTGTGGAGGTGATCAGGCCTCCCAGCCCACGAACCGGGATGTGTTTCCATCTACTTATGTCTTTGATCATTTCTTCCAGCAGTGTTTTGCAGTTTCGCTGTATAAGTCTTCTACCTCCCTGGTTCAGTTAATTCTTAAGTATTGCACTGCTTTTGACATGACTGTACATGGAGTTACTTCTGTGACTTCTCTTCTGACTGTTCACTGAGCGGAGACACAGCTGACTTGTGTGTGCTGACTCCGCACCCCACTACTTTGCCGAATTCATTTTTTCAGAGTTCATAGCTTTTCTGTGGAATCACTGGGATTTTCTACACATCAGATCACATCATCTGCAAACAGAGGTAAGGCTGGTGCACGTTCAGGTGCTGGGTCCTGGGTCATGTCTGGCTCCTGGCCTGGCCTCTGGGGTCTAGCCTGGCACCCAGGGGCCCAGGAGCCACGTCCCGGGAGCCCTGGGCCTGCACGTACCTGGTGTGGTTGGCTTCAGTCTTCGTCTGGGCTTTCGGTCCAGCTGCCCAGTGGAGGGAGAGGCGTCTCCTCTGCCATGTGGCCATGTCCTCCTTGTCAGAAACCACGAGCAGCTCTGAGTTCCTCCCAAGTGCTCTGAAAGGGTGCACCAGAGTGTAACCTGAATCCAAGTGGGACAGGGACAGAAACGGCCTCTGAGTGTTACCAGGCCCCTGGGGAGGCTCTCTGGGGTGAGGCCTCTGGAAGTTCATTTTCAACAAACATGCATTTCCCGCGCAGAGGTGAGCGACGGCTTTAGCAGTGGTGTGCGACGGCTTTAGCAGTGGTGCTTGGGCCAGGTCCAAGAACAGACCAGGTCCTTGCCCGTGGAGGACACGAACAAACCAGACTGACTGCTGGGAAGAAACAACGGACAGAAAAACAGCAGAGGAGGGTGAGGGAGACCGGTTGGGGGCGCTGGGGGTGGAGCCAGGAAGCCAAGCTAACCAGGTCAGAGAAGGCCTGTTCCAGAGACCCGGGGCGGGGAGCAGGGCTTAACCCAGTCGTGAGGCAGAAGAGCCGTCGAGGTGCAGGGAGCGGCCTGTAGGGGAGGGCACAGGGCCTGGCGGGTCCAGGTGAGGCCACGTGGGCGGTGGCTGGGCAGAGGGAGGTGCAGGTGGGCAGCAGCCAGCTGCAACCCCCGCCCGCCCGACTCCAGCAGGCAGTGCGGCCCCTGCGGCTCCCTGCCCTGAGCTGCAGTCTCTTCTGATGGGTCTCCCTGGGGTGTGGCCAGCCTCTCCGGCGCCACCCCCACGGCTGGTGGAGAGGCGCAAGCTGCCTGAGGGTCAGGGGGAGAGCGACAGGCAGGGAAGCCTCCCCGAGGTTACGAGGGGAAAGCGAGGACGGGGCACAGGGCGTGCTGAGCGGAGGGGCCGCCAGACCCCAAAGGGCGCCCGCTGGGCA